TATTACATGACCACTTTTTGTACTTTAAGATTAAAGAAGTGGTGCAAAGCATGATCCAACTACTTAAATATTTCGTAAAATTTTTAAGAAATTAGAAGAAACTGGCTCAGCTAGAGATATTGTAAGACCTATGCGTTTTCGTGTTGCTCGTTCCACCTCAAATATCGGGACGGTATGTGAAAGTATAGTTGAAGACGAAAATGTATCAATTTCTCGAATATTATAAAGTCTTTAACATTTGAAATTGCATTTTTATCCATATAAAGTCCAGCTCATTTAGCAAATGGAGCCAGCTGACCATTAACAATGTCGTACATACGTCAATTCGTTGCTTAAACAACGAGCAGTGGACAGGAATTGCACCTAAAATTTTCCTAAGTGACGAGGCGCATATGTCATTCTACGGCTACACCCGAAAAAACTTCTGTCTGGATGGCTCTTTGGTTGGTGGTCTCATTGGATCTTACTTCTTTGAAGACAACAACAGCGAGAGTGTGGGAGTATTATAGTGATAACCGACTATTTTCGCCCTGAAATTGAAGAACACGAGTAGGACAATATGTGGTTTCAAAAAAATGACAATCAACAAAAACGAATATGGCTTTACCGGTCGCTTAACCACTTCCCCTGACGATGCCAATTGGTCACCAAGATTGTGCAAATTGACACCGTTGGAATTTGTTTTCTTGGGCTAAACGAAAGCTTGTGTTTATGGGGATAAATCTTTAGTTCTTGAGCACTCGAAAACCAACATAAATAAGTCAAGTTATGGCTGAGAGCCCCAAAATGTGCCAAACAGTGGTAAAAAAATATATGTACAAGTTCGGAAGGCGATCATGTGAATGATATACAAGTGTTTGGCAAATAACACCAAGGCTTAAGCTTTAAAATAAAAAAACAACTTTATGAATGAAAAATTATTTTAAATGCATTTTATTTGAGTTTATTTTTAAATACGCAAAAGGGATAATCTTGCATTACGTTGAATACGCTTTTCCTTCGATTCTTTTTTATTTTCATCACGACTTATCTGCTTTCATATATATCCCTGTGAATGAGTCAGAGATTTTCTTTAATATTTGGCATATACACGTAGCACTGCCTATAAACATATATTTGTATAATTTGCTTTGAAAATATACTTTTACATGCTGACTTAGCATATTTGCCGCACGCGCGCTTTTTCTGCTATGCTTTGTGTTTGTTATCTCTCCACTTTAGCATACAATAAACAGCAAACAAGTGAATAATAATTTCATTAAGCCACATTTGCTTCATACACAACCATGTTTCGTACACGGACAAAGGCATACTTACAACACTAATGCATAAACGTACATACATACATACGTACATACATACATACATACATACATACATACATACATACATACATACATACATACATACCATGTCGACATGGTAGTTATAAAAATGTCTAAGATTACTTATTCATATGCCTTCTTATCTACCCGTCCTCATTGTAGATCTCCTCGCATAGATTGTAGTATATTTGTTTAACACCTAAAATTATGCTTTATTTTATTCATTATCTTTACTTTATGATTTTGTATTCGTTCTTTTATTGCATACTTTGTTGTTGTTGTGGATGTAGTAGTAGTAGTTTAAGTGCGTATACTTGTTTATAAGTAACAATAAGTTGCGTAATTGCGCTATTATTCATGTCCTTCATGTTGAGCATGTGTTGCTAGGCAAGCATTTGTTGGCTTAAAAGCACTGAATTTGTGAGTCAAAGGGCACAAAGTGTTTGGATATGCTAACGGCAAGGTAAGTGGCGAAAACAGCCTCGCGCCAGCAATGAATAATTTTATAGCTAGGTTTTACGAGAGCTGGCGTTATTCAAGGTAGAAGTTTCAAGGCAATAAGGGAGGCACGATTTTCAAATTTATATGTAAAATATTTTTTACTTAAAAAAAAATGCAACATAGTGCACGCGGACCATTACAAAATTATGTGATTACATCAATAAAATTTATGTATTTATTTACTACTTCGTTTTCATTTTGTTGGCTTTATGCAGTCAATATTCCTTTATTTGCTTTTTTTCACTGCCTACTTTCTATTATTATTTCTTATTTCTTATAAGTAATTTAAATATTTCTCAAATACACATTTCTCTTCACCTTTTATATTCAAATTATTAATTAATTTACACTTTATTAACTACTCCATAAATGATTAATTTCAAACTAGTACCTAACTAGCCGCTACATCACCAGTCACTAATCATGTTGATATTCTAAGTAAATTGTCCAAACATGTAACCTTGCAGAACCGGCAGTAGGAAAAAGATGTGGTCTTACAATGAATATCATCGGTAGTTAGACCAATCCTACTCTATGGCATCACTGTATGGGGGCCGGCACGCGAGAAAATTATTTTCTGGAGGAAATTAGAAAGAGTTCATTGCTAGGCGGCTAACTCTTCTCATTTACCTTCCTCTTGACCTGTAGAGGAATTTACAAGTGAGCTGCAACCTAATTAGATAGAAAATATTGTTTTCACGAGAATCCCAAACGGAAAAGTAAGAGAAAACACTCACGCCTCGATCAGGTAGTCATATTTTTGCCCGGCTAAAAACTTGACGGGAAAGCGAACTGTTTAATATATTATCCGATGCTCTCAATCAGATAGGATATAATCCGACTGTCAAGATGCTATCAGATCTCTACAAAGTAAGAGCACCACATCAAAAATGGCTATTAATGTAGAAGCAATTTGAACAAGCTCTCGACTAAATGCAACACTGCGTGCATAGCAGACAAACTAGGGAGAAAAGGAACCCTTCTATTCCAATAAAGCATTACATCACGTGAAAAACATGGGGTACTACTACACTAATGATTTTTTGTTGCAGCTGTAGGGACGCACATGCAACTTAGCCTAGAGGAGTGTTTAATTTTCAAGTACTCAGGAGTTAAAGGTTTATTCACATAAAACGAAAAGAGTCTAAAAGTGTCGAATCGCATGATCTCGCTGGCCAATTGAAATCCCCAAGAAATTTCGAAATTTCTTTCTCAATAAAGTCATATTTGCTCGAATTGTAAGGCTTGTAGCATTATCTTGTTGCTCCAATAGTGTTTTTCAATTCCAAACTAAAAAATGACGCATTGACAGTCTCGCCGTTGTCGTTTTCGAAGAAGTCCAATCACAACTCCGGTGCAAAGAGCGGGCAGACAGATAGTTTTTTTTTTTTTTTTTTGCTTTGGCCAAAGTGAACTCCAAGCGGATTTTTGGTGCTCTAACTTCTACAAATTTGCTTATAAACGTATCTCCCTAGTGAGACATGTGACTCGTTGGTGAAAAAAATTTTATGCAAAAACCGGCGTCCAATCGAGGTTTGTATAGCATCATGTATGGTCAGCTGGCTCCAGTTGTTATGTGATCGGTACATTGAATAGATGTAGAGAAATAAGTCCGTAATAGTCGAGTAAAATCCAGGATTCTAATCTTGGTTCAACCAACATCCCAAATGGTACATAACTAATTTTTCTTCTAACCGTCCTCAGCTGAATGTCATGATCTCCGAGTGTATGTCTGATAAGATTTTCTCAATTTGAACGCTTTGTGGGATTGATAATGCACGAATTTCAACGAAAACAACACATGTTTAGTTTGGCAGCTAAGTTTGACAACTGACCACGAAATGGATAACCCTATATAGTCCACGCTCAGATTTTTTTGGTGGCCAAAATAGGCAAATTTTTTGGAAAAATCGCCTTTTATATATTAATTTATATATAAAAAGCAATAATTCAGTTTAAATATCTCGAAAATTACATAAATTACATATGTACGGCCTCACTCTCCAGCTCACATGTTTTATTTTTCCGTTTACGTTTGCACAAACAGACTCAGTCATTAACGAAGTTTTTTGTTATTTACATTTCATAGTTATTCATTTACATTTATTTGTTTAATGGCTGTGGCAGCTATCTTTGCCGACGCATAGAGCTCAACTTTTTTTTTTGTCATGTTGCTTGTTTGCTTAGTTCCTTTCTTCTATTTCGTTATTTTTACTTTATTTAATTTTTGTACATATATTGCTGTTGTTATTACTGCAAAAGCGCTGATGGCAGACGCACCAACTTGTCGCTTCCGTTTCATACACAACATATGCCCTACAAGAACTGAGAGCGACGCAACCAACACTCCCACACTTCATCACTTTGTTACTCATAGGTACAGCATACTCGTGTAGTTGGTAGGTGCCCATTAGGTCAGCACTGAGGCTGCTGCTTTTTTTGTGTACAAACATTAGCGGAGACTATGTCAATGACTTGGTCATGACGGCTGTCACAACAAAGTTGACTGGCATGTGTTGTATTTCCGTGAGTGGCGTATTGCTTTGGGGTAATTAAAAGTTAAGTATACGCAGTGTACAACCACATGAGCTGTTCGGCGATGAAGACTACTCAAATGCCAGTTCTAACGACAGCGAAGTAAAACGGACGGCGGGTGTATGAGTTTGAGTAATTGCGCGCGTCAAGCAGTAAGTAAGTATGTGTGTGTGTATGGATGTTTTTTTTTGTTTTATTTGTCTTTATGTAATTGGATGGTAGTATGTATTTAAAAGTGGCGTGGGCAATAAAATTGACAATTCTTTAGGCACAATTAAGTTGACTCGCTTTTTCACTTGAGCTGTATACATATGAATATTTATATATTATATAAAAGAAGGAGAGTCCGTGGACTTGTGATTTTCATAAAGATAACTTTGAACTTTATTAACAAAACAGATACCAAATAGTTTTAAACAGATATTGTAACATTTACTATGTTAAACGTTATTTATAGTTTGCAAACAACCTTTTAGTGGTCATTCACCTTATATACTCGTAATGTCATTAATCCTTTTGAGCAGTCAGTGAGTTGTCACAGGTTAACGATTATTTATTTCCTATATTTATATTAATAAAATAACAATTTATTGCTTAAAAAATGTTAATCTTTTACAAACTAGGTTTTCCATTGCTCACCATTTGGGTTGAAAGTATATCTGAAAAAAAATGTATACATGAATTAGTAAGAGGTTTATATTTTCTTAAACAATTTAGTATTTTCCTTGTATTCTTAAATGAATATTTTCAATACTTTTTTCCATTAAATTTTAATAGAAAATAAAAAAAAAATAAAATAAAATTTTCTAAGGAAACAAACTCACTTTTGTTACATTTACATCCCCAAATGAACTGGTATACAACTAGTATAAAACTGATGTATAATCAGACAATTGTCATCTCACAGAACATCGCCGTTTTAAAAAAGCCAGTTGCTTACAGATGGCAAATAGATGGAAAACGAATTAGTGAAAGCAAATTAACAAATATCTTAAGTCACATTATCACATTTCAAGCCCTCTGGTTTCCATTCCTCTATTCGTTTAGCCTAATGTGGCCTTTCCTGTCAAGATTCTTTCTATTGCCCAATAAAACTTCCTTTCAAAAAATTAGTAAAGAAGTTATTGTGTTAAACGAATAATACCACGCTAAAAGTGGCCCAAAAGTGTAGGAACTTTCTAACAAACTCCCAATTAATATAGCACTGTCGTTGTCTTGATCCCCGAACACGATGGTGGTTTACTTCTGTCAAAGTATATTCTTAAATTGGCCTTTGCCTGGGGAGCAAACTCAAGATGGCTGAAAGAGATCACGTGCAACGTGACCAGCAAGCTATGGTCGAAGCTGGACGCGAAAAAAAAAACACAGCCTCTTATACTTCTAGACCGGTTCTCCATTAAAATAGCGACTGGCATATTGAAGTTTGCCACAACTGCAAGGACGATGAAGAGGAGCAGATCATCGAGCACTATCTCTGACATCAGCGCGACACAAGCTCGTTTGAAAACAATTCTTCGACTATTTCGCTGAAATATCCTTAGCGAATATTTGAAATCTCGTTGTTTTTATAAGGCACACAAAATGAATAGATCATTTGAGAAGGTGAAGGCAGGAGCCTCAACGGTATCCCAATCGGCCTATTGGCCTAAGTGCGCTGGTAGCGATCAGCAGCCGCGTCTACTCAACTCAACACCAAAAATGTCAAACTTTACTATAAAGTTGCAAGATTGCCAGCTTACAACATTAGGGTTGCTACATACCAAAATTTACATTCCGCCAATAAATTAAACACTTAATATGTGCCTTCGGCAACAAACTTTAATTTTGTTTTTTTTTTATTATTTCTTTCCATTACAACTTCATTTCAAGCAAAATTAATACAAATTATTGATAATTATTTCAATAGTGAAACATATTTTTTTTTTCATTACAACTCAAGCACAAGCAACAATTGAACAACTTTTTCATAAAATATATGCCATCATTACAACACAATTACACACAAGTACACATATACTCCTATAACTGTAACAAACACATTAAATAGCAAGTGAATTGAGCATTAACTAGTAGAGAGCAAGAGCAATGTTCTACCAATTGATGGCTCGATTAAACGAGAAAAAAATACTTGATGAACGACACGCTGTGAAACAACAACAAGCGAACAACAACTGGTTGTTATACAAAAAGATGATAGAAGCGCCAGCCAAAGTTGAGGCAAACCATGAGTGGAATGTTAAAATTAATTTCTACAAACAACACAACATTGAGAGATTGCAGCTTTTGCTCTTACAGACAGATAACGTTATGCGGAGTAGAGTTGCAGCAGTGCAATAGTTAATTGTTGTTATTGTTGTTGCCACTTCAACTATGCACTACTACAACTACTGGCATAATATTACTCTACTTCATGCTCCATGGTGCAGCACTAATTTGACGCGACGCAACGGTAATAACAACTGAGGCATACAAATTTCGTAAAAGATGTATGGGTGTGTGTGTGTTTATATTAAATGCATTATATATTTATATATGTATTTTATATAGAACAATTTATAATATATGTACATATGTGCAGAGTTACATATGTATGTGGGTGATACACATATGCATTACTGTGCAGGCAACAGATCCAAATGTATGGTGTATATGAGTGTGTGAGGATATGGGTGTCGCTCATGAGACTTGTTCCTTCAGTTGATGTGGCAGCTGCCGAAGTTACTTGCCAACTTTTCCATGCTTACAACCGCAAGTACTCCAGAATCGAAATGCTTGCTGGCAAACCGCGTAAACTTTTAACATATACATGCATACATACATTTATACATGAATAAATACGTACAAAATATACATATGTTCGTACACACATACATGCATACATATGTGTACATACCCTGCAGGGGAAAATATAAGTTGTTAAAACAAGCATCCAACTGGTATGCAGTTTTGCATTCGCGGCGATGGCCTAAGAGCTGACAATTGTCGGACTATGTACCGGCTTTATACTAGTTGTATACTAGTTCATTTCGGCATCTTAAATTTTTATTTCACCAAAAAATAAAATAGAAACGAGGCTTTGCCTGATGAGAGAATCGTACCGAGAGCCTCACGCAACCCATTGAAGACCTCTAACGACTAGTATACTGTTGGGATATCGTAGAGAACAATGAACTATGCGCAGTTGAACAGAACTTTTTAGAGGAGGCAAAAATTTATGTTTCACCAAGATTTAAAAAAAGACAACAACAGTTAGCAGCAAATTATTAAAGAAATTAGTGAGACTCAAACCAAGAGCTTAACGCACTAAAGCGATAATCTCTAACCTGTCCGCTATCGTGAAGATATAGCGATCAACGTCATTTTGGGCACTTTAACAGAGCAGAGCAGAATATGAAAAACAACAAACGGTGGTGGTAACTATTATTTCTCCCATTACTGATAGACAGCTATGCAAATAACCAACTGGTATGATTTCGTCTACAAAATACTAGCATTTAACTAGAATTTCAACAAACTAGTTGCCTATTCCCTGCATCTTTGTTTGATCAATACGATGTCTCAAATATTGGAAAGGTTTTTCAGGCAAGTCGTCTGTCCTATCTGCAAACTAATTTGGCTTCAGAAGACACCGGTCCACCATGGACGCTATAATCACTACTGGCTAAAGTTAAGCAGTAAATGTTAAAGTACGCGATTCTCATAAAGGAGACAGCTCTAAGTAAAAAACCATCTGCCAATAAGGCAAAGGAAGGTTGTTCAAGCTAAACCCAATATAATGGCTTCGGAACTCGGCAGAGTTCATCAAAAGCTAGGACTCAGATTCAGAGGAATATCGACGGGTGTCGAAAGGAATGGAACACGACAGAAAAAGGAAGATGAATCCATCGACTTATTAATAAAGCACCAGCCTAGATTGAGAGGCAATAAGAAAAGGCAGACTTCTAACTGAAACGAGCTTGGCCATGTCTGTTTCAGAGAATGCCTTCACAAATTCGGCCACGGCGACTGGTCTGAATATCTTTTTCTCCTGCTCGAGGTATGTGGCAGAGAGGTCCAATACAGACCGCATAATAAATGAAAGGATTGCGTCCGACAACATTGTAGATCACTTCCTACAAACGATGTCAGTGTGGGCCAAAATGAAGAAATGGGCCGCAATAGCGCTCCAAGAGCTCAGTTTGAAAGAACGGCATCGGAGTAGGCAAAGACCAAATGATCAACCCAACAGAGAGCATTTGTTGAGGTATTTTAGTCCAGCTTGGCCCTGAAAATTAGCGCTTAACGACGACCCCACAATGCCAAATGCAAGTCATAGCATCCAGATATAAGGGTTTTAGTATGAAGGCATATGGTTCGCAAGTGTAGCACAGTTAGAAAGTAGTAACTGAGCGTGGTTCCGGATGAGATGTTTCTTTAGCGGACAATGCGAACCTTGCATGTCGTCCATAAAATTTACGATATCTTTTTAAGATTCGCCCCTCTGAAAAAAGTACTTATATACGCCAATACATACAGACTAACATGGATACAATCATATAAATGTACAAATATACATACATTTAAGCATTGGAGTAGCTAGTTGTGCCCCAAAATAAAATATTTATTGTTGCTATACTAAATTTAATGCTGCAGATTAGCATTTATATATAAATATATATATATATATATGTACATACATGCATTTAAGTATATTTAATTATATTTTGCTAAAGCTTACAACTTCTTTCGGCAACTTCTGCTACATATGTACGAGCATATATAAATATATATATGTACATCTGTACAGTCCTACATCAAACTTAAATGGGCGGAAGTGAGTTTTGCTGCTGCCGCTGCCACTCTCGCTCTCTTGTAACTTTTGATTGAAAGGAGGTAGTAACGTTAGGTGGAAGCGCGCTGAGTGTTATTCAGCTTTTGTTTGGCGCAGCCACTTTGCCAACTCGCTTGTATTGCTATTACTAACCGCATGCTTAAGTAAATGCATACACTTAGACATATATATATATATATATATATACATATATGCTAACTCATTACCTCTTTTGATATACTGCTTTTATATTATTCCTGCAAATTATTTAATTTTGAGCAATTTGAAACACGTGCGCACACATGCACAAGCTTTATGCAACTACACTCACACCCACAATCGATTTATTAATATATGTATGGATATGTAGGAGTACTAGAGTTTCTATGCAATTTTCTATGTTTGCTTGGATGCGTGGGTGCGCTCTCTTGCGGTTTTACTGATTTTGACATTATTATTTTTTTCTTTTTCTTTAATTATTTATTTTCTTTTATATAAGCATATATATATAAATATGACATTGCATTGCGCTTTTCTCCTTTATCTTTCATTTTTGCCTATTGCCTTGTTCTCGTTGGCAAATTGACACAGCTTTGCAACATTTTGACTGGGTTTTATGATTTGAGTACAAGTTGTGTAGATACTATTAATTAGATGGATTATTTTTGGTTTGCCTTGCGCGATAGACGTAAAAAATAATAAAATTCAATTGTTTTTTATTACGTTCATTTTCTGTTTCTTAGTACTTTTTAATGGTTTTTATTTATTTATTTATTATTAATGAAAAATAATAATAAAATTTTTTTAGAGAAAGAAGAACCAGCTGTTTTAGTTTTTAATATCAAGCTA